CCATATTGACATCATGGAAATATCTACTGGGCAGTGCTGGTTTAGACCATACTCTCTGAAACACAGCTTAGTACCGGGTAGGTATTCACCCAGCGATTCTGTGTATGTCTGCCTTTAGTAGCTGCTTCTGCTGTTTGCTACCACGACGGCCGCCTCCTCCTCCCGTGGTGGGTACGTAGGTTTAGGTTCTTGACCTCGCCACGCGAAAGAATTTGAGAGCGACTCCAAAATAAGAGTAGGTAAAGAAACTTATTGTAAAGCAAAAGTACCCTCTGAGAGGCTGAGTGGGCTGCTCAAAGGGAGAGACAGCAACGAGTGACTTAAGAGGAATTCCTTTTATGGGAACTGTTCGTATATATTCATAAAATAGCGGTGAGGTCAAGCATGCAAAGACAGACCTGCGGTTGAGGCATGCGCTCAGCATCTGCATGCTCTAACACGCAATGCATGTATCATTAGCATATAAAATCTCCGCCTAGGGGTGTGTTTTTTTACTATTAAAATGAAGAAAAGGTCACTATGAGCCAAACCTTGAGCCTAGCTGCGCAGGTGGAACCCTGGAGAAATCCTCAGCGCCCCCGCCCCAAGGCAGGAATTTGCAGCTAATAGCTTCTTGGGTTTTGGATGCTGATTGGCTGGTACTGGGGAAGCTATATTATGAATAAGTCTCTTTTCCCGGCCTGTACTAGTTATCAGGAGCTTGTAACCATCTGGCAGTCAGCGGGTGTCCTGCAGGACTGTTTGTCTTGCAAAAGAGTCAGGTGCTGACTTAAGAGGGTGCAAGGGATGCACAGCCCACTGGGCTTCACACCAGGAGAAAAGTCAGTAAGTCAGTATGGCCTCCTAACCTTCCTTATCCTGCTTCACTCCTGCTCACTCTTCTTTTTGTGGCCGTTTTATTGAGATGTAGTTTACATACTGTATAATTCATCAATGCAAAATGTACAGTTCAGTGGTTTTTAGTATATTCACAGAGCTGTGCAACCATCACCATAATCCACTGTAAACATTTTCATTACCTCAAAAAGAGACTCCCATATGCTTTAGCCATCACTCCCCAATTCCCCCATACTCTTGGCTCTAAGCAACTACCAATCTATTTTCTGTCCCTATATTTTGCTAATTCTGGACATTTCATAAAAATGGATCATGTCATATGTGGTCTTTTGTGATTGTTTACCCCCCATGATGTTTTCAAGTTTCATCCATGTTGTAGCATGTATCAGGACTTCTTTTCTTTGTGTGGCCAAATAATATTTCATTTTATGGATATATCACATTTTGTTTATCCATCCACAGTTCATAAATATTTGAGTTTCCATCTTTTGTTTCATGAATAATACTGCTATAAATATTCATGTATAAGTTTTCATATGGACACACGTTTTCATTTCTCTTGGTTGTATACCTAGCAGTGGAATTGCTGGTCAAATGGTTACTCTATGTTTAGCTTTTCTGAGAAACTGCCACACTGTTTTCCAAAGTGACTGCATCATTTTTACATTCTCACCAGAAATGTAGGAAGGTTCTAATTTATCCACATCCTCACCAAAGCTTATTATCTTTTTGATTATAGCCATCATGGTAGGTGCTAAGAGGTAACTTTTTGTGGTTTTTAATCAAAAAAGAGTGTTGGATTTTGTCAAGTGCTTTTTCTGCTCTATTAATATGAGCATGTGGCTTTTGGTTTTTATTCTATTGATAGGGTGTAATACAATAATTAATTTCCAGGTGTTAAGCTAACCTTGCCTTCCTGGGATAAATCTCACTTGGTCATGGTGTATGATTCTTTTTATATGTCACTGGATTCGATTTGCTTGCATTTTGTGGAGGATTTTTGTATCCATAGTAACAAGAGATAGTGATCTGTAGTTTTCTTTTTTTGTGATGTCTTTGGTTTTGGAATCAGGGTAATACTGGCATCATAGAATGAGTTGAGAATCATCCCTTCTCTCCTGTTTTTTGGAAGAGTTTGTGAAAAATTGATATTGATTCTATAATTCTAATAATTTAAGTCTTCTCTCTTATGTCTTCATTGAATTCTGTCATTTTTGTTGATCTTTCCAAAGAACCAGCTTTTGGTTTCATTGATTTTTCTTTACCATTGTGTATTCTCTATTTCATTAATTTCCATTCTAATATTTACTATTTCCTTTCTTTTTTGAATTAGGTTTAGTTTGCTCTTCTCTTTCAAGTGACTTAAGGTGGAAGTAATTGTTTTGAGGATTTTTTTCTTTTTTAATATAGGCATTTACTGCTATAATTTTTCCTAGGCACTCTAGCTGAATTCCATAAGTTTTGGAATGTTGTGGTTTCCATTTTAATTCAGCTCAAAGAATTTTCTAATTTTCAGTTTTATTTTTCTTTTGATCTACTGGCTATTTAGGAGTATGTTGTTCAATTTCCACATATTTGTGAGTTTCCCAAATTATTTACGGTATTGATTTCTAATTTAATTCCAGTGTGGTTGGAGAACATATTTTGTATCATTTCAATCCTTTTAAATTTACTGAGGTTTGTTTTATGACCTAGCATAAAGCCTACCCTAGAGAAAATTCCATGTTCACTTGAAAAGAACACACACTTTGCTATTGTTTGATGGAGTGTTCTAGAGCTATAGCAGATTTTTTGAAACTCACTCAGGAAAATCTCAAATGTGTGCAGAAGTAGAGATAATGATAAAATAATTGTGAGTTGTGAGTTGAATTGTGTTTCTCCTCCAAAATATTGAATTCCTAGCCCCCACTATCTGTGAACAAAGGGTTTTTTGGGGGTAGGGGGCATATGATTAAGTTAAGATGAAGTAGTAGGGTGGGCCCTATCCAATATGACTGCTGTCATTTAAAATGGAAGAAACTTGGACACAGAGACAGATATGAACACAGGAAGAACACCATGTGAAGATGAAAGTGGAGATTTTGGAGATGTATCTACAAAGCAAGGAATACCAAAGATTGCTGACAAACCACCAGAAGCCAGGGGAGAGGCATGCAACAGGTTCTTGGCCCTTAGAAGGAGCCAATCCTGCTGACGCCTTGATCTTAGATTTTCAGCTCCCAAAACTGTCAGACAATACATTTCTGTTGGGCCAGGTGCAGTGACTCTCGCCTGTAATCCCAGCACTTTGGGAGGCCGAGGTGAATGGACCACCTGAGGTCAGGAGTTTGAGACCAGCCTGGCCAAGATGACGAAACCCCGTCTCTACTAAAAATACAAAAATCAGCTGGGCATGGTGGCAGGTGCCTGTAATCCCAGCTACCTGGGAGGCTGAGGCAGGAGAATCACTTGAACCTGGGAGGCAGAGTTTGCAGTGAGCCGAGATGGCACCATTGCACTCCAGCCTGAACAACAGAGCGAGACTCAGTCTCAAAAAAAAAAAAAAATGATGTTAAGCCACTCAGTTTATGGAAAACACTTATGTACTCACCACTCAGATTCAACGACCTTTCAGCCTTGTATCTTCACCACAAGCCAGAGCTCAGTGGCTCCCGGGCATTATAACAACACGGACCGCTAGTCAATGACTCTCAGGTGAGAAAGTTTAAAGGCACAAAGACATTTTGGAATTCTGCCACAGTGCCCTCTGGTCAGGAGGTGAAAAACAAGCTCTGAGTGTTGGACTTCCAAAAATGTAAAAGACGAAAAGTCAACGGAGTTAGGCTGATATGGTTTGCCTCTGTGTCCCTACCAAATCTCATGTCGAATTGTAATCCCCAGTGCTGGAGGTGGGGCCGGGTGGGAGGCGATTGGCTCTTGGGGGTGGAGTTCTCACGAATGGGTTAGCGCCATTCCCTCGGTGCTGTTCTTGTGATAGTGAGTTTTGGTGAGATCTAGTTGTTTAAAAGTGCGCATCGCCTCCCCACTTACTCTCTTCTTCCTGCTCTGGCCACGTGAGATACCTTGCTCCCCCTTTGCCTTCCGCCATGATTAAACGCTTCCTGAGGCCTTCGCAGAAGCAGAGGCCACTATGCTTCCAGTACAGCCTGGAACCATGAGCCAATGAAGCCAATCTTTTCTTTATAAATTATGCAGTCTCAGGAATTTCTTTCTAGCCGTGTGAGAATGGACTGATCCATGAGCCTTGTCAAAATTTTATGATATGCATAGTAAACAATCAAATACCAGATTGTCTGGGGGATCTTGGGGGAAGGATTTTTAATGTCAAATTAGGTTATTTGTCAAAATGATTCTAAAATGTTACACTGTGTGAAAGTTGTCAGAATCGAAATGGAGTTGCTTATGTTAAAAACCTAAACAATAGACCCAGGGAAAGGCATGAAGGGAGGATTCCCAAGTACAAATACCTGATAACAGCAATTATCCACAAGTCTGCAAAAATCACAACCTTGCATAAAAATATACTTCTGCGCACCGGGCGCGGTGGCTCACGCCTGTAATCCCAGCACTTTGGGAGGCCGAGACGGGCGGATCACGAGGTCAGGAGATCGAGACCATCCCATCTCGGCTCACACAGTGAAACCCTGTCTTTACTAAAAATATAAAAAACTAGCCGGGCGTGATGGCGGGCGCCTGTTGTCCCAGCTACTCCGGAGGCTGAGGCAGGAGAATGAGGTAAACCCGGGAGGCGGAGCTTGCAGTGAGCCGAGATCGCGCCACTGCACTCCAGCCTGGGCGACAGACGGAGACTCCATCTCAAAAAAAAAAAAAAAATATATATATATATATATATATATATATATATTTTTTTTTTATATATACTTATATATATATATATATATATACTTCTGCAAGGACATCTGCCCAGCAGCTGCCTATCTGACCTCAGGCTGGCACCGCCCTTATTATTGCTCTTTCTAGCCAAACGTAATTATCTTGAAACAATTATACAGCCCTCGTCATTTTTCTTCAAAAAACCTTTGTCTTCTTTTACCTCCTGCATATGCACATAGTTTATTATGACACACATATTCCCATTGCAGTACCCATTCCCAAATAAATATCATTTTCTATTAGAGAGCTTCTCTCTGTCTGTTATTTAGGTTAGCAGTTGTCGAAGCATGATTTTGAAGCCAGATCTTAGAGTGTCTTTGTTGTCAGGTTATCAGGTACTCTATAGTTTTCTGTTTGGGTGCTATTAGTGAAGTAGAGATCATGGCAGGTGGTAGTTATTGTCTGTAAAGCTTGCAAAATTTGTATTTGTTCCAAGGTCTAACAGTCCTTTTTATTTCTTTAGACATATTTAAATTTTTATTTTAATTTCTATTCCAATATCCTCGGTGTTTTTGAATGCATTTCTACTCTTTCTTCTTCCTCCCAACTCTCGCTCAAATGATGGCTTCCTCTTGTGTCTTATAGCTTGCTGTTGTGAAATTCTGTTCTGTGGAACAAATCTGTAATAATTTTTTAACTTGAGGTGCATTCCTCAAGAGAAGATTGTACAGTTGCTTTTGCAGGTACTGGATATATTAGCAATCCAGAATATCTTTTTTTGTTTTTATTTTCTTCTTGTTGTTTTAAAGACAGGGTCTTCCTCTGTCATCCAGGCTGGAATGCAGTGGCACAATCATAGCGCACTGCAACCATGGATTCCTGGGCTCAAGCCATCCTCCTGCCTCAGCCTCCTGAGTAGCTGGGACTAGAGCTGCACGCCACGACACCTAGCTAATTAAAAAAATTTTTTTTATAGAGATGGTATTGCCCCGGCTGATCTTGAACTCCTGGGCTCAAGTGTTTCTCCTGCCTCAGCCTCCCAAAGTGCTGGGATTACAGGCGTGAACCACCACACATAGTACAGGATGTCTTTAAATTACATTATCAGTTTGGTGTTTCCAGAACTCTTGGAGAGTGGAAATTCTGTCCCTAAACTTGTGTGATGGTAAAATACAAATTCTTAAAACATGTTTTTCTCCCCTTCACTCAGAGGCAAAATCAAGGTAGACAAGTTTCCTTACTAACTCCTTAAGAAAGGCAGGATTTTTTTTTTTTTTCCATGTTACTCAGTGTGTGTCTTTCAGGGTCCCAGCCTTATGTAAAATAAAAAGGTCTACAGTCAGACTTCCCACCTTCATTAACACCTGAGAAATTAATGAAAGAGAGAATGCAAACGGTAAAGAAAAATCAATCTAGTGTGGGCACGACATTTTGGCTCCTTTGCTCCTGAACTAAACCGTGTAAATGGAACCTCCAGTCCCCAGACACTGGCAGATACTCCTTAAGCAACACTGTTTCAATGTCGTTGCTTACCTTTCTGAACTCATATGTTCCAGTATTTGTGATCTTTCAGGATTTCTCTTACCTTTTGCCAGGCCAGCTATATATTTAATAATTTGTTGTTTAAAAAATATTTAGACAATTATAGGTGTTTTTTTTTAAATCAAAAGTCTCATTATGATTCCTAAGTCTGCCATATTGCTAAAAATGGAAGACTATAATGATTTTTCAAACTGAGAGCTCTCTCTGATCTGGAACTTATTTTTCCATTAGTTTGAGGTTGGGCTAAATTTCATTTCTGCAGATTCTAACAGTGTAAGGAAAGGTACAATGGGCCCTGAATGGGCTTTCTGTTAGGCTCTTTCATGAGTTCAGTTTGAGGGGCAAAATGACACACAAAAGCAAAGATCAAGTAATAAAGAGTTGGCTTTCACAGTTTTGATGAGTGTCTTCCATCCACCCTAGACCTGCTTCCTTTTGATACAAAAGGTGCAAAGCGACTTTTATTCTGTATTTCCTAGTGCTTTGTTGGCTGCATTTCCCCTGCCTCATACCTGAGCTTTTTCCTGCTGAGCTTCATGCACAAGGACCTTCCATTTGATCTTCATGGTTCTTCCAGGTAAGGCAGAACCTGAAAAAAAAGTGAAAGATCAGAAGGATGGGAAGACTTAAGGATTTTGGACTGAGTCTGGGTCCACATAAAGGTAACCCAGGGCTGCTGATAAGAGTAAGTGTAGAGTAGTTGATCAGCAAATCTCATCCCATCTAAAGACAGAAAGTTAGAATGCCAGGATAAATTCCATTGCAATCAGCTTCAGAGAACTATCCTAATTCTTTGATGTATCAAATATGTGTTAAATAAGTGAGAATTTGGCTAGGATTTCAAAACGTACGTTGTTATAGAGAGGTTGAAAGTATAACACATTTTCTTTCAGAGACAGGGTCTTGCTATGTTGTCCAGGCTGGACTGCAGTGGCTATTCACAGGCGAGATCATAGAACAGTACAGCCTTGAACTCCTGACGTCAAACAATCCTCCTGTCTCAGCCTCCTGAGTAGCTAGGACCGTAGGTGTTCGCACCACCATTCCTGGCTCCAGACAGCCTCTTTAGAAATGACAGAACATTAAATGAAGACTATCCACTGTTTAAAGGTTAAAATAGACAGTCTTTTTTTTTAAATCCTTTCCTACCATTTGATCAGAAAAGTTTGCTCTGTCTACTTTTTGAGGACACTGTATTTTATTACCATCCAAATATTAGAAATAACTTATATCTATGTGATAGAAGTTTCCAATATTCTATTTTTACTTTTTCCTGCAGCAAAGCCTATATATTCTTTTCTGATATTCTGCTTCTGTCCTATGAAATCTCCCTTGTTTATTTCTTGCCATCTTGCTGATAATTATACAGCATTTTCCCTAGTCCTAACTTGTAGACCTTCCAATGACTACATACTTCTGATTGCTTTTACAGTCGTGATTACAATATTTCCTCCCCTCCTTTGTGTCCTGATTCTGTACGGAATCAGAGCAGCTTCAAAGACATTATCTAAGGAGAAGCAGAAGGCTTTTCCAGGCTGTCTTCAAGGCCCGTGCCTGGATGTTTTCCCCAAGTAATCTTTTTTACTTAAAATGTCAGACCATAATAGAACCTCAAATTAAATGGTTGCTCTTATGTGAAGAATGGGCTGGGTCTTGGGCTGGGTGTGGTGATGTGCATCTGTAATCCCAGCACATTGGGAGGCTGAGGCATGGGGATCACTTGAGCCCAGGAGTTTGAGACCAGACTGAACAACATAGCAAGACTGACTCTACAAGAAAAATTTTAAAAATTATCTGAGCATGATGATGCATGCTTACGGTTTCAGCTACTCAGGAGGCAGAGGGAGGAGGATTGCTTGAGCCTAGGAGTTCAAGGCTGCAGTGAGCTATGTTCGCACCACTGCATTCCTATACTCCAGCCTGGGTGGGAGAGCTGTTTGCTAATCATTTTATGTTTTCCCAAGCTGTTCCAGGAATTTGGCAGGGAGTTGACATCAACTTATCTGTCTGTACTTGCTTTCTGAATAAACCACTCAAATGCTGAAGCTGAAGATTTCTCACCTGTATCTCGGGATGGAGCTGAGAACGGCATTACAAGGAATGGAAACATTTCAGTGACCATCTCAGACACCCGAGAGACTCACAGACCGAGACTGGTGGGGCTTCTCTAAAAGTCAACATGGTACAATCTCATGCAATGGAAAGATGGCAGGTCTTAGAACTGAATGGCCTTGGGTTAAATCCTAACTCATCCACCAGCTGTGTGGTTGGGAAAAAGTCATTGTAACCTCTTTGAGTCTCAGTTCCCTCATCTGAATAATGGGAATCATACTAACCACCATGCGGCATTGTTTTGAGGATTAAACAGAATAAGGTATATGTGGTGGGCTGGAAAATCACTCTGAAGATATCTGGGTCCTAATCCCTGGAACCCGTGAATATTATCTCATATTTGAGAAGGCACTTTGCAGATGTGAGAAGGCTGAGAACCTTGAAATGGGAACTTTATCTTGGGTAATATGAGTGGGTTCTACATTCAGTTATGACTCTCTTTATATGAGGAAGGCCAAGGGACAATTGGCTGCAGAAGGAAAAAAGCAATATGACTACTGAAGCAACAGGATTTGAAGATGGAGGAAAGGACCACAAGCCAAGGAGTGCAAGCCACGCAGCTCAGGAAGAGCCTTTGCAGTTGGTGTTGCCCCATCCACACTTTGATTTTGGCCTAATGAAAATAATTTCAGACTTTTGACCCCCCCCAGAACTATAAGAGAATAAATGTGCATTGTTTTAAGCTACCAAGTTTGGAATAATTTGTTACAATAGCCACAGGAGACAAACACAGTATGTAAAAGGCCTGGTATCTAGTAATGCTCAAAAACTATCGGCTGCCACCCCCACTCCATTCTCCATCGTCTGCCTATGCTGGGCACTATTCGTTGAGCTGTCACTGTATAGAGGCATGGGGGCAGTTGCAGCTTCAGGAGCAACTGGGGAGCTTGTAGAACAAGCTTAAGCTCACAGAGATTCCTATTTTTATTTTATTTTATTTTATTTTTATTTTATTTTAGACAGGGTCTCACTCTGTTGCCCAAGCTGGAGTGCAGTGGCATGATCTAAGCTCACTGCAAGCTATGCCTCCCAGGCTCAAGCAATCCTCCCAATTCAGCCCCCTGAGTAGCTGGGACTACAGGCATGCATCATCATGCCCAGCTAATTATTACTATTATTATTATTATTATTATTATTATTATTATTTTGTATTTTTTGTAGAGTTGGGGTTTCACCATGTTGGCCAGGCTGGTCTTGAACTCCTGACCTCAAGTGATCTGCCTGCCTCGGCCTCCTGAAGTGCTAGGATTACAGGTGTGAGCCACTGTGCCCAGCTGGCTCCTAGAGGTTCTAATTCACTGGTTGGGGTTCAGGGTCCAGGAATCTGCATGTTCCCCCACGCCTAACCAGGACATCCTGATGTGAATGCCTTTCACCCCATAGTTTAAGAAACACTGCCTAGGATCAGTAATGGTTGGCTGTCACTGCCAAGGTAACTCCAACGGGACGCTGATGATCAGGAGGAGGCTCTGGAGCCAAAGCAGTCTAAGAGGCTGTGGGAAGCAACCTAGCACCTGCAGGCCCCGCCTCCTGCATTTCAGACCCAGGTAAATTAAAAGACTTGAGCAAAGGCTAACACAGATTTTAACAGCTCAAGGCCACAACCCTAGGATGTCCCTAGTTCCCCTTAAAGTGACTTCTTGAAAAAAAAAAAAAAATTGAAGGCTGCCACATGAGTTTACTGTTTGTTCTATCCAATATCTGACATAGGTCCCTTGCCTCCCTTTCTTAGAGCATTTACCAAAAAGGGCTTAATTGTGACTCTTCCTCCATCTTTGAGAGGTATAGGTGTGTGCTATGACTCAGAAGTGTCTCAAGGACCTGAAAGTGCTTCCCTTGAAATGTAACAATCGGCCAGGCACGGTGGCCCACACCTGTAACCCGAGCACTTTGGGAGGCCGAGGCAGGTGGATCACCGGAGGTCAGGAGTTCGAAACCAGCCTGACCAACATGGTGAAACCCCATCTCTACTAAAACTACAAAAATTCGCTGGGCATGGTGGTGCATGCCTGTAATTCCAGCTACTTGGGAGGCAGAGGCAGGAGAATCTCTTGAACTTGAGAGGCAGAGGTTGCAGTGAACTGAGACCACACCATTGCACTCCAGCCTGAGCAACAAGAGCAAAACTCTTTCTCAATAAATAAATAAATAATTAAAGAAATGTAACCATCAGGAAGGACAGGGCCCTGTCTCCTGCTGCAGACATGGAGGATCTAATCGCATTGGCACTAAGCCTTAGGAATTGTTCACTTCCTGAAATCTACCGAACCCCCTCCAGTAGGCCTCCGTACTCCCCCATTCCCCCTTTCAAATGCCCTGTGTACAAATCAAAGTTGAGTTCAGTTCATGCTGTACTCTTTTTCCTATTGCAATAGACATTACTGATTAAGACCTGTCCAGACCAGTTTAACTGGTGTCTGGCTTTGCTTGTTTTTGACACTGATGCTGACAGAATGCCTGCTGAAACCTTAGGCCAGGAGATGCTCTAAATTCAAAGTTATGAGAAACAGACTGTCATTGTTCATTCAAAGTGAAAACCTAGAGGTACATACAGATACACACACACACACACACACACACATACAGAGATACACATGCACATGTACAGTTACTTCTGAAACCAAGGAGAAAATGTGAAAGTGATTCCAGTGACTAAAGACTTTTCACCAAGGAAGAATTGACCAAAATGCAGCAGAAAGTCAGCAGAGCAAGGAACTCCTCTCCTGGTGTCTAGTCACATGCTCGTCCACTGCCTGGGGATGGGAAGTGGTAGAAAGCAGAGACCAGAGGCCAGCCTGTGGGATACATGTGTTGGGCAGTTTGCTGATTTTTCATTCTTCCCCTGTTCCTCACTCACTGTTAAAAGAAAAAAGTCATGCGATGCCACTTGTTAAAGCACAGTAAGGAAGACTTTATTCAAGAGCATTGTGACAGATGAAAGGACCACTGCAGTCGCATCTTGCAGTGGCGGAGAGAGACTGAGCTCCACTCCAGACACAGCCTGGGCAAGTGGGTGGGGTGGGGGAGTGGTTAGTGGGGTGAAAATTACTAAGAGGAACCACCAGGGATATGAGGGATTTCGGCTGAACTAACATAAGAGGATTCCTGCTGAAGGCAGGCAAGAGTGACCACACATCACCTGCGAAATGGTGGAGGATGAGAAACCTGGTCAGGTATCGAAGATGGGGGAGTCCTCACTAAATGGACTTAGCAGGGCTCTTCACAAGGTATTGCACAGATGGGTCTACAAGAAGGTTCAAGACTCTAACTCAAGCTTGGCCAAGCAATGAATCTTTGTCACCAATCCATCTCAAAAGTAAAAACTGAGCTAGACTAAGCAAATAAAGGGGAAAGATGCATTGAGAGTAAAAAAAGAGTAAAAAAAGACTTGAGGGTTAAATTTTTTTAAAAAGGATTTTAGTCCCTGTCTTGCCACTAACTAGCTGTATGCTCTTAGCTGAGTCATTTCATATCTCTGAATCTCCGTCTCCTCACCTGTAAAACAAGCTGGTTAAATTGGATGATCCAACTCCAACTCCATGCAGGCATATTTATCAAATGCTTATTATGTACCAGCTACAAAGATCAATGAACCCCAGCCCTTGCCTTCACATAGGTAAAGGAGTTATGAGTGCTTGAAAGAGCATAAGGAAAATTACTAGCCCGTAGATGGAGCCTGGGCAGGGAAGGAAGTGATGTTAAATAAGGACCGTGGAGACTCAAAGGCTCCCTGAGAAGGGCAGATTTATCATGAACGAAAGTCAGGAAAAGGAAACCACAGTCAAAAGGTGGAATTTCAGGATTTGAACATTTCAGATGCATTGAAGTTCTTCTTGATGTCAAGATGACAGTGCACAGACTTTAAATTATGAATGTGTGATTCAACAATTCTCATTTGAACTCCTACAAGTAACCCCTTAACAACAGAACAATCAAGTCTACAGCAGCAGTTGCTGTTGCCAAGTCTTTTGGTGATCTTAGGGATCCAACAATCCTCAAACTGGTAGGCGACTATGCTTCCCAGTGTCAGGCCCATTAAAATTGATCCACCAACTCTGCCACTCCCAACCACGTGTGGTGCTAAACCTCTACTCATATTGGGTGTTTAGAATTCCAGAACTCCACATTAATGCCTGTAACACTGTAGCAGGTCAAAATTTGACATGTTTTCTCTTAATTTCGCTTTTTAAAAATATTACTTTTGAAAAAACATTTCAGACTACAGAAAAGGTGAAACAACAGTACAATAAACATGTTTAAACCCTTCACTCAGATTAACCAATTGTTAACAATTTGCCACATTTTTTTCTCCGTGTGTGTGTGTGTGTGTGTGTATGTATGTGATATGGTTTGGATGTGTGTCCCCACCCAAGTCGCACATTGAATTGTAATCCCCAGTGTTGCAGGTGGGGCCTGGTGGAAGGTGATTGGATCACAGAGGTGGATTTCTCATGAATGGGTTACCACCATCCCCTTGATGCTCGTGATAGTGAGTTCGTTCTCATATAAACGTGTGTAGCACCTCCCTTTTCCCTCTTGCTCCTGCTTTTGCTGTGTGATGTGCCTGCTCCCACCTTTGCTTCCACCATGATTGTAAGATTGCTGAATTCTCCCCTAGATCCCAGGAGATGGTGGCACCATGCTTCCTGTAAAGCCTGCAGAACCATGAGCCAATTAAACCTCTTTTCTTTGTAAATTCTACAGTCTCAGGTATTTATAGCAATGCAATAACATACCAATACAGTGTGTATATATACATACACATACATAACACATTCATATACACAGTACATATAATAAATATATGTATATGCATGTTTTCGTAAACAATTGAAAGTAACCTGCAGCTATTATAACGGTTAATCTTCAAATGTTTCAGCACACGACTCTGGAGAGAAGGGACATGCTCCTCCATAACCAGATCACCATTATCCTATCTAAGAAAATCAACATAACTCAATAATGTCATCTCTCACACAACCCATGTTCATGCTTCCCCCAAAATGTCTTCTGTGGCATGTTATTCCTGATTGCAGATTTAATCAGGTTTCATGTCTCACATTTGGTGGTTACATCGCTTTAGCCTCTTTTAGTCTAGAGTGGTCCTCCTGCCTTCTTGCTTTTGTTTTTGTTTTATGTGGCATTGGATTATTAGGAGACTTCAGGCCACCAGCCTGTAGAAAGTCTCCCTGCAACACCCTTCCATGTGGACCTGACTGATGGCTTCCTCATGCTTCAATTCAAGTTAAAGTGCTGGGAAAGATCACCTCCCAGGGGGAGTGCACCTATCATTGTGTCTGGAGCTCAGCACATCCGGGTGCTGCACTGCTATCCCTTGGCTATGGTGATGATCACCAGACATCTCCATTAGAAAGGTATGTTCTTCTCTTTGGAATCACTGAGTTACAGGTCGGGTTGGGTGCTACCTGCAGATCTGTCTTCTTGAGGTGATCATCTCTGAGAAAAGCAGAGCAGGAAAAGAAAAGAACACAAAAGGGGGAGAAAGTAAGGGAGAGCATGTGGAAGGCGTGTCATAGTCCATTTAAAAAATAAAAAGATTGAAAATATAACTATATATCACATTTATAATTATGTATAGGCCTGGCCTGGTGGCTCACGCTTATAATCCCAGCACTTTGGGAGGCTGAGGCAGGAGGCTTGCTTGAGCCCCAGAGTTTGAGACCAGCCTGGGAAACATAGTGAGACTCCTCTCTACAAAAACAAAACAAAACAAAAATTAGCTCAGCATAGTGGCACATGCCTGCCTGTCATCCCAGCTGCTCAGGGGGCTGAGGTGGGAGAATCACTTGAGCCCACGAGGTTGAAGCTGCAATGAGCCCTGGTTATACCATTGCACTCTAACCTGGGCAATAGAGTGAGAACTTGTCTCAAAATAAAATAAAAGGCTTCACTTAAATGGTGTGGAGAAACAGGAAACATGAAGTTAGGGAGGTGTGACTAAGACTTGAGAGCAGACTGAGGTTGTTTCACTATTTCACTGGATGCTGACCGTGATTTAGGGTCAATGACAACAACATAAACCCCAACAGTAATCACTGAATTATCATTGTTGACATTCCCACCTAGTTATCCTACTTCTTAATTAGGCCTTTATTTTAGATGTGTCTCTGTATTTTAATTATACCTAATTATATGTAATTGCATATTCTTAGTTCATTTCATTCTGGCTATGAGCAGAAAAGCGCTTTGCCAGAAAAGTGTGCTGACTTTCCACATGTTCTTTTTACTCTTCTTTCCAGTTGCCAGTGTGAATAGGGGAAGTTAATTTGTATAGACATGTTTCCCACCCTCAACAGGGGCCCTTAGACACTGCTCCTATTGAGAGGTGGGGTCTATGTCTTCTTGAAATTGGATGGGCGTTCGTGACTGTTTAGATCAGCAGAGCACAGTGAAAGCGACATTATGCGGCATCCAAGTCATAAAAAATGACCCAGGTTTCACTTTGTCCTCAAAATCTGCTGTGTAGGCAGCCTCACTGCCCTGAAGCCACCATACTAGTAGGAATACCAAACCAGCTCCCAAGGAGACCGTGAAGAGAGGTCCTGAGACTGGAGAGAGAGAAAGAGAAAGAGACAGAGTTGACTGGACAGCCCTAGTGGCTTCAGCCTCTCTCCACCAGCCTCCCGTTATTCCAGTTCCATCCTTGAACTGATGGGTGTTGTTTTGAGCAACTCTGTTTGGGGTGTTTTTAAATGTAGCAATACCAACAGGGCCTCCTCCTTTCACTTTTCCACTTTCTTCTAAGGTGCTAGATTCCTGTTCTTCTGATTGGTCTCAAAAATGAAGTGGCTCAGGGATTGAAGACACAGAACCCAGATATAGGAAATATGATCGTTAGACTGCAATATCTGAAAGCAGACCCATTGATTATATTATTGTCCCCAGAACTTTCCTTTTGTTGCTCTGTGCAAGGAAACCTTAGTCCCCCTTTGACTAGTTAAGAAAGACTATCTTTTCCCAATATCCACAGTTCTGAATCTTAACAGGCAAAAGCAGTGCAAAATAAGTCTAATTTAGTGTGACGGCAAGGGCCTGGGCCTTGGACTTACAAGTATTGCCTTTGGGTTTCTGCCTCACTGCTTGGTTTTGTCGTTGAAAGGATGGCACTGTCCCTTTGAGCTTCCATTCTTCCTCTCTGAACTGGGAACAATACCTCACCTGTCTGCTTCACCAGGTCGTATTGAGAGAGTCATATGTGATAGCATACTTGAAAACACCTTGTAAGCTGTAATGCGCTAACCAAATGCAAGTGATAATCAGTGTTATTGTCACTGAGAAGTTATTTATCTGCTTTAATTCCCTCATCTGCAAGATGGGGACAATAAAATATGACCTTTCCCCTATTCTCATCAAGACACTGCTAGAAATATGTGCAATAATAACGAAAGTCACTCAGATTGGGGTGTGGGGAGGAGAGGTCAGGGTGGAATATGTTAAGTAAATAACGGGTATCTATTCAACAAACATACACTGAATGGCTACTATGTACAGGCACCAATCTAGGTTGTGGACATACCGAAAGCAATAAATGGCCTTTCCCCTCGAGGAACTTACCGTCTAGAGGAACACTATGGACACAGAAAGCTCTCTTCATACAGTTTATTAAGTAGTAATGAAGTGGGAGGCGGAACTCAACTGCAGGTGCTGGGCTCAGACACCAGACCAGATTAAGGACTAGCTAAAACAGGGACATGGTGGAAGCAGTTTTCCCTAAGACACGCCCACCAGTGCACCATGTCAGTTTACCGTTGCCGTGGCAATGCCCAGAAGTTGCTGCCCCTTTTCACAGCAACAACCCAAAGACTTAGAAGTTACCATCTTTCCTAGATATTTCTACAGGACCTGCCCTTTAATTTGCATGTAATTAAAAGTAGGTATATGCCAGGTGTGGTGGCTCACACCTGCAGTCCCAGCACTTTCGGAGGCCAAGGAGGGTGGATCACCTGAGGTCAGGAGTTCGAGTCCAGCCTGGACAACATGTTGAAACCCCATCTCTACTAAAAATATCAAAGTTAGCTTTTTTGTATTTAAAAAGTTATTTAATACAAAAGTTAGCCTTTGGTATTACAGGTTAGTGCACCTGTAATTCCAGCTACTCAGGAGGCTGAGGCAGGAGAATCACTTGAACCCAGGAGGCAGAGGTTGTAATAAGCTGAGACAGCGCCATTGCCCTCCAGTCTGGGTGACAGAGCGAGACCTCGTCTCAAAACAAACAACAAACAACAACAACAAAAATCCATAGGTATAAATATCACCGCAGAACTGCCTCTGAGCTGCCACTCTGGGCACACTGCCTACGGGGTAGCCCTGTTCCGCAAAGAGCCGTGCCTTTGCTGTTGCTGTGCACTGCTGTTTTAATAAAAGTTACTGTTTAACACCACCGGCTCACCCTTTAATTCTTTCATGGGCAAAGCCAAGAAACATCCTGGGCTAAGTCCCAATCTGGGGCTTGCCTGCCCTGCATCAGTAAAATTAGAGAGAGTAACTTATTAGTCTGTTCTCATGCTGCTCATAAAGACATACGTGAGATTGAGTAATTTATAAAGGAAAGAGGTTTAACTGACTCACAGTTCAGCATGGCTGGGGAGGCCTCGGGAAATTTACAATCATGGCAGAAGGGGAAGCAAACACATCCTTCTTCACATGTTGGCAGCAAGTAGAAGTGCCGAGAAAAAGGGGAAAGCCCCTTATAAAACCATCAGGTCTCATGAGAACCCACCCACTGTCACAAGAACAGCAGCATGGAGGTAAAGGCCCCCATGATTCAATTACCTCCCACTGGGTCCCTCCCATGACACGTGGGATTATGGGAACCACAGTTCAAGATGAGATTTGGGTTGGGAGACTGCCAAACCATATCAGTAACCAGGGTGGACTCAGTGTGCATGGGTGGCAACGTAGCATGGTGGTAAAGATCATGGGGTCTACACTTGATTGCTTGAGTCTAGATCCGGACCACTTGCTCCCATCTGACCTTGGAAAAGTTCCTAAGTTCTCTGTGCCTCAATAAAAGGAGAATAATAACCAACTGTATTAGTTTGCTAGGGCTGCCATAATAAAGTGTCAAAGCCTGGGTGGTTTAAACAACAGAAATTTCTCTTACAGTTCTGGAAGTCAGAAATCTGAGATCAAAGCGTTGGCATGGTTGGGTTCTCCTGAACCCTCTCTCCTCACCTCTCATATGTGTCTGTGTCCAAATTTCCTCTCAGTATAAGGACACCAGTCATATTGGATTAGAGATACCCTAATTATCTCATTTAACTTACTTCTTTAAAGACCCTATCTCCAAATATAGTTGCCTATGGAGGTACTGAGGGTTGGGACATCAACATATGAATTTGGCAGGGGAGAGACACAATTCCTCCCAAGATCAACCTCAGAGCACTGTAGAAGGAGTACATGAGACTACATCGAAGGCATTTAGCCAATGTCTAGAACACAGACTAAACACTCAATTAGTATGAGTTATTATTATATGGTGCTATGAAGCCTATGTATTGTGAAACTCATGTTTGTGAGGGAAAATCAGGGAAGGCTTCCCATAGGCAGTGACCTCTGAGAGGAGATCTGAGGGACTGTAGCATTAGTAGGTCGAGAGACAAGTTGCTGTGAGTGAGGTAAGTATATACCAGGAAGAAAGAATACAAAAATTATTAAAGGTACTGCTTTTTTAAACTTTAATGTATGTATAAATCATATAAGAATCTTACAAAAATGCAGATTCTGATTCAGTAGGTTCAGAGTGAGACATTTCTAACAAAGATCCCAGGGGATGCCAGTGATGCTGGTCCCTGTTGCACGCCTCCATGTAGTAACAAGGTTATAACTGGGTGCAAAATCTCAGGAGGAAGTGGCAAGATATTTGAGGATAGCTGGCATGAAAATTGCATATGGGTGGAGATTAGAGACTGCTGAACAGGGAACGAAGAGCAGAGATGAGACCTGTGATGCTGACTTCTGCCTAAAATGCTAAATCACAAAGGGCCTTACAAGTTAAAGAAAGAAAGAAAGAAAGAAAGAAAGAAAGAAAGAAAGAAAGAAAGAAAGAAAGAAAGAAAGAAAGAAAGAAAGAAAGAAAGAAGAAAGAAAGAAAGAAAAAAGAAAGAAGGGAGGGAGGGAAGGAAGGAAGGAAGAAGGGAGGGAAGGAGGGAGGGAGGAAGGCAGGCAGGCAGGCAGGCAGGCAGGAAGGAAGGAAGGAAGGAAGGAAGGAAGGAAGGAAGGAAGGAAGGAGACAACAACAAAAAGATCTAGAGCACCAAAGACAACCAAAGAGCTTCCAAATGGAAAAATGGGTTGAAGGAGAACCCCACTGGGAGAAAGAAAACCAATTAAAATATTTTTCCTGTTAAGTAGATGAGAAATAATGGTAGTCTGATCTAACATAGTGGCCTTGGGCATGTGGAGAAGTGGAGGAATTCAAGAAATATGAAAAGACAGAATCATCCATTCAGTGATTGGTTTGCTTGGGGGAGATGAAGGGAAGGGAAGACATAACAAAGACCTGGAACGAGGTTATTGGGTTGGTTTCAGCTGCTGACTGTCAATATAAAACAACTAAGTACATGGAGAATGGCTGTTCACTAGGAGCATACACAGGCCATGTCTTCTCCGTCTCAGATATTCCTGCTAATTTTGGGCATGGTCAGCCTGCTTTATTCAAACCACCTTCAAAAGGCCTCAGTTTCTACTAAGTACTCATGGCTTGGAAGGGTAACACAAAACCAGGAACATAAATCTGTACTTCAAAACTCAACAGTGATTTTTGTATTTTCTCCCCTAGTATGGCACGTGTTAGTCTTCCCAAATTAGCTATTACTCCTTGAGGGCAATGACCATGTCAAACCTATAGTTTCCATTCCCCACAGCGATGATGACCAAATAGGCACTAAGAGCTGGTTGACTATTTGGGAGAATAACATCTAGATGATTACATATCAATGCCATTTGTTATCTCACAGCCTGATTATATTAATAACATCTGTAAGGTGTCGAGTAAGTCTTTTACGTGCATCATAAATGCCACCATCTTCTTTGGGTCGTCAGAATCCTCTAAGATCCTTATGTCCGGGCAGTTTGGATAAGAATGTGTTTGACTACAGCTTCATTGAATTATTTTAATATAATGGAAGCCTATCCATTACTGTTAAACTCTACTGCCATCTACTGTTCATATAATAAAATAACACATTGTGCTCTCAATCCCCCAACCCCACCTCTACGCTCTATTCTTTACAATTGAATTTTTGCTTTCCTCG